AAAGAGGAGCAGGGCTGGAGACACAGAGGTATGGAAGCCACGTTAAGCGGACAATTTTGTTGTTTGTTTTTAAATTTTGTTTTGTTTTATTTGTGATAAAGTGTGAGCTTGCTCAGAGCATGAGAGAAAGAATGAGAGAGAGAAAGGGAAAGACAGAGATGCACCTTCCGTAGGGGTCAGTCAGGCTGTGGTCCCCTTCCTGTAGGCCTCAAGCCTGCCAGGATCCTGGGCATACATGCAATGCTCCATGGGTTTTCAGGTCTACTGGGCTGGGAACTAGGGCCATGGCTGACATGTAGCATCCAGCTCCCAAGTCTGGTCAGCTACAGACCTGACTTTGTTCACAGTATAGGCTAGAAAGGACAATCTTGACCCTATCAATAAGAATCCAACGATAGATATATATACAGGCAAGAAGAGATTGACACAAGAAAGTTTGTGCCTTGTCTGCTACGAGGGGCAGGATGGATTGGAGAGCTGAGGATGGGAGCAAGGGACCTGTCAGGAGGCTGAAGCATGAATCTGGTGGGAGATGAAGACCACCTGGACTTGGGACCAGCAGTTAGCGTAATGGCTATGTCGCTGGACTCCCATGTAGCCAACCACAGTTTGAGCCCCTGGACCCGGTAGTTTAAACTCACGCTAGGCGCCTCTGTGTGCGTGCCCAAGATCCCGAGAGGAGAATGGAGGAGAAGGGATTGCAGTGTGGCCATCCCACCTGCGGGGTGATTTCTCGCTTTCTGTCTCCCTGCCTCTCTCTGACTTTCTGGCAAGCACATATGCCCTATGGCAAAAACCTCTAAAAAAAAAAAAAAAAAAAAAAAAAAAAAAAGACCACCTGGACTTGTACAGAAATAGAAGGACATGGAGGAATTTAAGAACTACAGAGAAGGTGGCATTAACAGGGCATAGAGATTTACAGGACAAGGGACAGAGCAGGGAGATCCAGTATTGTGGATTGAACCTGAACCTCCAAAAATGTACATGTTTCAGTCCTAACTCCTAATACCTCACGATGTGACTGTATTTGAAGGTAGGGCCTTGAAATGTGTGATTAAATGAAAACAAGGGAGTTAGTGTGGGCTCTAATCCCATCTGACCAGTGTCAAATTTGGACACACACAGGGGGACGAGGGCTGCACATACACAGAGGAAAGACGACGCATGTGAGGACACAGAGAAGGAGGACACTCACAAGCCAAGAAGAGAGACCTCGGGCAAAACCAATCCTATTAACACTTTGGACTTCTAGCCTCCAGAACAGTGAGAAAATAAACATGTAGTGTTTCAACCACCAGGTCTGTGATATTTGTTATGGCAGCCCTTGCTGCCTAAAACACTCAGGCTATATCACTGTTTGGTTCCAAGTTCGCTCAGACAAGTGGGCAGGTGCCTGGATTGAGCTGTGGAATGAGATTGGAGGGGGAAGATGATGGGCCAAGCTCAAAAACCTATTAATTTGAGGGGCTTGTTCATCAGTTGCACTGGCTACAGCAGCTCCCTTCTAACAGACCAGACGGGGAACCAGGCAGGCAGGGAGGAAGAGAATGAGATGTCCAGAGACCACAGTCTAGCATTTCCCCCAGCACTGCATGACACTGAACAAGCCCCACACCTCCTAGGGGCCCTTTGGTAACAGAGACTGGCCTTCCAGAGCCTAACCAGCCAGGTCCCAGAGGTCTACTGCCACCAGTGATGCTTAGGGACTGTGCCCCAGTGTCTCTCGGGAAATAGTGCTGTTGTTCTTGGTCCTGCAGTCCAGGATGTTAACCAGGAAGGGGGCCTGTGCCCCAGGGAGCCCATGAAGTGCAAACAACTGTGAGTTGGCAGCAGTGCCCTGTTCCTCCCGCAGAGCCTCCCTCTGGGAGGTAGGCTCCAACAGGTCCCTGGGCAACGTTGCCGCAGACCCAGGAGGCCCAGAGTGGGGCTCTGAATGCCAGGGCAGCAAGAGAGCTGGGTCCAACCATGGCCTGCTCCTGCTCCTCCAAACTCCTGGGCCTTCCCTCCTTCGCCTCTCACTACTCCACATGTCCCAGAGAGAGGGTTTCCAGCTAAGCGGGGGTGGGTTGAGGAGGGGGAGCCAACAAATAGGATGCCTAGTTAAATCTGAATCTCAGATAAACACTTACCTTTTTAAATATTACGTATGTTCCATGTAGTATTTGGGACATACTTGCAACTTTTTAAATTTGGTGTTTCTCTAAAATTTGCTGTTTATCTTGTATTATATCTGGCACTCCTACTTAGAGAAGATCCCAGGAGCCAGCCAGCCTTCCCACAAAAAGAGCGAGATGGTTCTCCCTTTTCTCCTCTGCCATCGCCCCACGTGCTCCAGCCAAAGCCCTGTGGAAACTTGTTATTCACTGACTCCTTGGCAGGCTCTATTTCTCACCAGAAGTTAGGGCTGGCTTTGGAGCCAGGGTATCTTTGGAAAGGTGTTACATCTAATTAACCTAATAAATAGGTTGTACAGTCTGACCGGAAGTGGCAGAGGATTCGCCCTGCCAGATGAGGAGGAGGAGGTCACGCCTGCCATAGGCACCTGCCAACGAGCTGCCAGCTGTGGCCTGCGGAAGAGCTAATAGGAGGCTTGGGCTTCACATCAGATCCAGGGAAGCAGAAGTCACTCCAACGTTGTATTAACAGTGATCATAGCTGCCATTTATGGAGCCCTTATTAAGCGCCAAGCCCTGAGCAAGCATTATCTCATTTAATCCTTACCATGATTCTAGCAGGCAGAAGCTATTATTATCTCCGCTTAACAGATGATGAAACTGAGGCCTAAGAAGTTGAGTAATTTGCTCAAGTTCTCACAGCTGGAGAGGGGTAGAGATGAGGATTTGAGCCTAGTGATTCGGATTCTGGAGTCTGTGTTTTTAGCCATTGACCTCTCTGATCCTTTCTCCTACCCTAAATCATGTTCAAGATGTTCGGTGAGTGATGTATGCTATGGTTTGGATAAGGATTTGTTTCCCCTAAAATCCATGTTTTGAAACTTGGTCCCCAGGTTAATGGCATTGGGAGGTGATGAGACCTTTAAGAGGTGAGGCCTAGTAGGCAGTGACTGGATCATGATTCTCATGAATAGGTTGATGATGTCTCTTGAAACCCAATGAGTTCTAGCTCTCATGAGAAGAGGTTAGTTCTTGGGACCAGCAGTTAGCGTAATGGCTATGTCGCTAGACTCCCATGTAGTCGACTACGGTTCGAGTCCCGGTCCTGGCGGCTTAAACTCATGCCAGGCAGGTGTGCATGCATACCCAAGATCACGAGAGGAGAACGGAGGAGGGATTGAGGCGTGGCCATCCCCCCTAGGGGGTGATTTCGCGCTTTCTGTCTCTCTGTCTCTCTCTGTCTTTCTGGTAAGCGCACATGCCCTATGGCAAAAACTTCTAAAAAAAAAGGTTAGTTCTTGAAAGAACAAATGGTTTTAAAAGGAAAATGGCTGCCCTAGCTCTTTCTCTGCATTCACCTTCCATCCTCTCTTCTCTGTCTGCCATGTTGTGACACAGGTGGGCCTAATCCCACTCCTATGTCTTTGAACTTTCCAGCCACCAGAACTATGAGGCAAATAAACCTCTATTTCTTTATAAATCACCTAGTCTCTGGCGTTTCTGTTAGCAACACAGTAGTGGACGAGACAAACTACATACAAGGTGATAGATGGAAACACCATCCATTGCATCAACTTTGATCAAGCATTTTCCACTGAGACATGTTCCCTTCGCCCACGGCCTCAAGGAGGTCATAGTCTGGTGAGAGACAGCTATCAATAAATTATTGTTGAAGACGGACCAGCAGATAGCATAATGGTTATGTTGCTCAATTCCCACATAGTCAACCATGGTTCGAGTCCCAGATCCAAAGGCTTAAAACTCACACCGGGTATGTGTAAATGCGTGCCTAAAATCTTGAGAGGAGATGGAGAAGGGATAGCAGCATGGCCATTCTCCCAGGGAGTGAGTTCTCGCTTTCTGTCTCTTTCTCTCTGGTGAGTGCACATGCCCTTTAGCAAAAATCTCTTTTAAAAAAAATTATTGTTAAAGAAATGAAACAAGGGGCCAGCAGGTGGTGTGGTGGTTAAGGCACTGGACTCCCACATGACTGATGGCAGTTCAAGTCCTGGACCTTGTGGCTTGCTTTCTGACTTTCCCTCTCTCTCTGTGTGTGTGTCTCTCTGGTCAAATTTAAAAAGAGAGAGAGAGAGAGAGAATAAATAAAATTTAAATAAATAGTTCTTAAAAAAAAGAAATGAAACAAAAAAGTTTAATGAAATACCATAAATGCAGTAATATATTGCTATAATATATTGCTATTAAAAGGCAATAGAGGGACCAGCAGTTAGCATAATGGGTGTGTCACTGGACTCCCATGTAGTCGACCGCAGTTCACGTCCTGGACCCGGTGGCTTAACTCACGCCTGGTGCATGTGCATGTGTGCCCAAGATCCCAAGAGGAGAATGGAGGAGAAGGGATTGTGGCATGGCCATCCCCCTGGGGGTGATTTATCACTTTCTGTCTCTCTGTCTCTCTCTGTCTTTCTGGTGAGCACATGCACCCTATAGCAAAAACCTCTCCAAAAGAAAAAAAGGCAATAAAACTTGGTGATCAAAGGCCCCCCTTTACAAGGTCTGTGGCTTTGGGTAGGTTACCTAATTTCTCTGTGCTTCAGTTTTTCTGTCTGCAAAAGAGCAATAATATCTATCTCATAATGTTATAACGCTCAAATGAATTAATACTTCTTGAAAAGCACTTAGACAGTGCCTGGCACATTAGAAGCACTTTATTACACAAATACTTATCAAGGACCTGCAATAAGTCAGGCCCTGGTCTAGGAAATTGGGATATACTGGTTAACAAAGCAGACAAAATACCTGCCCTCATAGGTGCAGTCTAATGATAGACATTGCTCTAGTACATTCTAATGATAGTCATTTCAACTTTTTTTTTCTTTCTTTCTTTCTTTTTTTTTGGAGAGGCTTTTTTGCTATAGGGCATGTGCACTCGCAAGATAGACAGAGAGAGAGAGAGATAGAAAGCGAGAAATCACCCTCCAGGGGTGATGGCCACACCGCAATCCCTTCTCCTCCATTCTCCTCTTGGGATCTTGGGCACGCAGGCACACGCGCTCGGTGTGAGTTTAAGCCACCGGGTCCGGGACTCGAACTGCGGTCAATTACGTGGGAGTCCAGGGACATAGCCATTACGCTAACTGCTGGTCCCAACTTTTTTCTTGATCGTGATAGAGCACATACATCTCAGTACGAGAGAGACAGAGAGAAAGAGAAGGGCACCCTCCCAGGCTCTGCTCACACTGTAACACTCTCTCCAGTCCTCCAACCCCTTGGATCTTGGGCACTCGTGTGTGTGGTCAGTGTGTTTGAGTCTGGAGGTTCAAACCACAGTGGCCATGCCGGTTCCAGCTTCTCCTGGGCACACGTTCTGATCACACCGCGGAGTCAGTCCAGTAGCCATCATTGTTAAATGAACTATCATTACGCAATCAGTGGTCACTGTTAGTATATTTAGATGATTTTTAAGTTGGCTCAGTGACCTGGTGGTTGAGGTGGCCGGTTCCCACATGTTCAACTCTGTGATTCAAGTCCTGGACCCTGTGACCCCAACACCTAACAGGATGGAGAAAAGGGACTGCAGTGTGACCATTCCCCATGAAGATGCTTTCTCCCAATCTCTCTCTCTCTCTCTCTGGTGAGTGCACACACCCTCTGGCAAAGTTGAAAAAAATAATGATTTATAATTTCTCTAAAGATCTGCTATTGTTCCATAAATCTTGCTCTTGGTCTTGAGAGGGCATAAAGCAAGGAAATGTTTGCCCTCTGGATTGGCACACGGACATTTCCTGTGGTTTCAGAGATGGGAGGATGACCTCATTTAGAATTCTCATTGGGTTCAGGAATGGGGATTGAGGATACTGGTAACCTAGCAGCCCTAACTCAGAATGAGTTGAAGACCTAGGAGTGGACAAAGGACCACGGGGATGGGACCAGCCAGTAACATGGTGATCGGGGAAGCTGGATTCCACATGCGACTAAATGGCTTGAGTCCTGGATTTGGTGGCCTGAAAAACATGCCATGAGCTTGTGTGTCCATGGCCAAAATCCTGAGAGGAAAATGGAGGAGAAGGGATTGAGGCATGGCCATCCTTGGCGGGGAGGGGTTGCTTTCTCA